ACTTGATGATCCTTGTGGGTTTCTTCCAACTCAGGATATTCTATGATCCTATGATTCTTGCTATCCCATTTTATCAAGCCACTGAATTTTTTCCTTAACAGAATGAGACTGCTCCAGTGGTTGAGTTCTCTTGCACATAGCCAGACATTTTCTTCAAAGATGTATGATTCCAGTGTTCTTTTAAACAGACTTTCTTTTTGGGTGCCAGGTATCTGCAAACCATATCAGATTTCTGTCACATCCCTATAATTTTTTTTTAAGTCTGTTGTTGCCTTCACTTAAATGTCTAGGGCCTGAAACCTCTCCAGAAGCTCTGTCAGGAAATATCTTTTATAAAGAACCAGCTATAAAATTATGCTAATCTTACAGATCCAACATCCAGCCACTTCCATGGCCCATGCCATATTTGATATTTCCCTTGCTAGTGCCACAGCAACCTTCTCCATCCACCTTAATATTTCCTAATATAGTAAAAAACCCAAATCCCATCTCTCTCTTTCCCTCCCTTTCTCTCTCTCTCTCTCTCTCTCTCTCTGTGACTCTCCTAACTCATGAGCAAACTCATGGTTGTTGCCCACTAAACAGACTACTCAGCATGCAGGTTTTTAAAAGCTTTGTATTGAGTCAGTCCTGTCCTTATATTGTCTGAGCTAGGATGAGCTTTCTATTCCCTCAGTTTTTGCAAGCTCAAAAAAAGATAAAAAAATAAAAAAATCACTCACTCTCCCATGATCATAACCAAAATGTTCTAAAAAAGAGACACTCCTTTTAAATCAAGTGGCAAATTAAAATGTCACTAAATAAAATCTTCCCCAACAACAAGATTAGAGGTTCTGCCTTAGCTGACAAAATTAATGGCAACTAGCCATGATTTTTTAGAATTAGCAAAACAACTCAGTATTCCAAGCTGAAGAGAAAACACAGAGCAGATTAGCTATTCCTGCAATATGGCACAGTATCAAAAAGTTGAATATGATCTGAACTCAACTCAGAAGTTTTACCTTATGGAACAAAGGCAAATGTTTTTATCCTCTGGATGTGTTAGTACAGTATTGTGTGTGGTTCTGAAAATGCCATTACTTTATAGCAGGACATTTTTTTAAAAAGACCAGAAGAAAATTATCCAAAATTAGAAGATTTTCTACACATGAAACATCTTAAAATACTTAAATATGTACTTTCTTACACAGTGATGGTGACCCGTGAAAGTTCCGCAACAGCAGGTGATGAGTAAGAAATCTTGGTGTAAGCTGAAGAGTGGATCCATTTAATGAAAAAGCATTGCCTTTATTTCACTCTGATAGTAGCTACATGTTATGGGAAAACTAATGCCAAATATAAAAAATAGTAGAGTCATATTGATTTAGGGTTTTCATCAGTCTAGTCATCAGATTTAGAGTATTTCATCAGTCTAACAGTAGGAAAATTGTTCCCTTAAAATCAATGCTTCTGTTAGATACTGAATATCAAGCTTTTGTCTTCCAAGATTTAATAGGGAAAATCCACTTATCCCTTTGATCAATCATGGGTGACTTAGTCTTTTTTTTGTTGAAGTCTTTGAAAATCCATCTGTATAACTTTCATTACAGTGTTAATACCTTCGAGGCTCTAAACAAATTGGGGGAAAAAAAGAACGAATATTTCTCTCAGTCCTCAATACCATCAAATACATTGTGCTTTTTAGTGATAACTTAAGAAAAACAATTGGGAGGAATCACAGTCAAATAACATAGCAAAAATACATTTTTAAATAATAATAAGAAAAGTATTCATAATTTTGCAAATTTTCATAAGACTGTTTAAGAGTAACATAGGAAGATCTTTTCTCTGTTAAGAAGATTAGAGCTTTAAACATTCTTCTTAACACAGTGATCCAGGAGTAGTTAGGGTGTTAACACAGGTGGCTTTGCAGGTTTCCAGTTTATTTTTTTTCATTCTAGTTCATGAGACAGGGAATTTGCTATCAAATTTTGACCAAAAAAACCCCTACTCTTAAAAATAAGATGATTTGGGTTTTTTCTAATAAATAAAAGAAAACAACCTTTGTGGAATAGTCAACATTTTTAGGATAACTGAAAATAAAAGAGAACTTCAAAAAGTAGAAGTTAGGCAACAAATAAGTGAACATGATCTACTCAGTGTCATTTTTCAAGCATAAGAAACTGCAGAATATAGACTTTACTGCCTGTGTCTGTTTGCAGCCCTGAGAGACTGTGCATGGTCCCTGTGAAAAAATGCCTGGGCTGCAGTGTTAGTGATATTAAAACCTAAGAATATACTGATGTGCTAGCTAATTAAATTTAAACTAACTCAGATACATTTGAAATTTGAAATTATACCAGGATTTCTGAAATGATAGTGTTTATATATCTTAGATTTAAAAATTAAATAAATGGGATTAATTCAATCTTGCATGAGTGCAATGATATTCAGGCATTCCAGCTCCATGGGTAGGAATCAGTACAGTGATCTGGCAAAATCAGAACTGCATAAAAATAGCACATGTGAAAAATGCCCAAACAATCTGCCTTAAAAATAATAAGCTGGCTAAAAAGTGGCTATGAAAACTGTAACAGTGGAAGACCATAGCCTTCAGAGCAGATATTAAAACAAAGATGAGAAAGAAACTACCTCAGGAGGAAAAATTTATTTCTTTAATGGTGACTTGGGACAATATTAGAAGCCTCTGATATCTTTAGACTCACTACTCGCCTTCTTTGTTTTCACAGGAAACATGTCAGTGTGGGAGCTAAGTTGGAACTTGAGTAAAGACCTTGAGGTATGGCCCCTGGAAAAGACAGTATCAGTGCTAGCAGACGTGAGTGAATTATCCACTACTAAAGAGAGATGAAGGATTTTATCTGCTTATTATGGGCAAGTACTGATAAATGATTGTGTAATTAAAATGGAAATTGAGTCCTGCGCTGCACTGGCTGCGGTGGGAGGAGGCATCCTGAGGCAGTGCGAGTCCTTATGCTCCGGTGGCAGGCACAAGGTTAAACATCTGCTCCCAGCTCTCAGCATCCAAGTCAATCAGCTGGTCATCCTTCCCCCTTTAATCCCTCCATTGCATGCTTTGAGACTTGCAGGCACTAAAGGAACAAAGTGCTACCAGCAACAAGAGGTTTGCCACGTTGCCTCAGGTCCGGTAATTCAGTTACCCTGGTGTAGTGACCAGAAAGCAGTACTAATTCTGGTAAACCTGCTTCAGAATTTATCTGAGGAACACAGTCAGTCCCCATTTGTGTACTAAAACAAAGGGAAATGGAAGTTTGAGAGGAAATTTTTTGTAAAAGAAAATTATTCATGTTGAAGTAAGCACATGATATAAATAACATATTTAGTAATAATGTTATTATAATAGTGATAGTAAGCATATAAGCCAAGCTAGGTTTACAAAAAGAGGTAATAGATTTTACTGGACCAGTGAGATCATTGGAATAAAAACACAATGAAACTGAGAACCTTTCAAGTGCTTCTTCACTTTGGAATTTGGTAATTGGCATGCAAACCAAACCATTGCAAAGGTAATTACATGAGCTATGTTTGAGAAATCAGTCTCATCAATCATTAGCCAGTTACCAAAAATACACACTCTTCATAGGTAGGAAGAAGGGAAGCTGTAGGGATCTTCTATCACAGTTCAGAAGCTTCTCACACACTCCAGAAATCCCTAATAACTCAATTGATTTAAACGTCAAATTCAGCCCAGCAGAAAGCCTAGTCTTTAAAGCTTAACACTAGAAATGTCTCTATGTATTTTTATAAACTATCCACACATGTGAATTACTCAGTCAGTTTCTATCATATGAAGAATATCAACAGGTTATTGCTCCACCCAGCTCCCAGTCAGGCATTACCTTTCCTCACTCCCAGCTGGACCAAAGAATTACTGAGAAGCTCCTAAAGGCAGAGCTAGCAGGGATGCTAAAGAGTAGGATGTGGAACACAAACTGGGGAAGAACTGTGTGGTTGTGAAATCTCTTTATGGATGCAATAAAACAGGACAGTGGGGGAAGATAAAGGAAGCGACTAGAAATGTGGATTGGAATATCTGTCCTGTGTAATGGATGCCCTGCTGAGAGGTACCCTGGATCAGCATAGCTGGATCTAGGCAGCACGAAAAAACACTTGGTTCTGACTGTGGTCTTGGCAGCAGCACGAGACCATGGTTCCCAGGCTGATAAATCCTGCCAGTCAGCTCATCAGGAGCTACATGCTGCTGAGCTGCTGTGATCTCCACTACCTAAAATGTTACAGCACAGTCTTCCAGCATTGCAGTATAGGCATGCTTTAAAGATATTTGTCTAGAAGTGAATATTAGAGGGTTAACTAGGGAGAAGGGATTGCTTTGGAAATGCAGACTGCTCAGCAGTCTTTATCCTATATCCCATGTGATCTCTACAGGAAAAAGACATCTATCTTTATCCTCCTTCCCATCCATGTTCTTCCCTCTTTCTTTGCACCTACATGTTCAAGGTGTGTATGAGGAACTGCATGGATACTGATGATTTTAGTGCTTGCTACTTAAGACATAAAAATAAGTGTTGTCCCTTCTCAGGGAGGAGTGTGGAGCCCTCCTGAGCTAGAGCTAAACTGGACATGGTGGAGATGCATCAATGGAAACAACAGAGCAATTCTGTTCCTCATATCTGCTGAGGCATTCCACCACACATGGAAAAGTTTTTTGCTGTAAAATCTCTTTTAAACAAGCTGGGTGAGATAAAAGTAACACAGGAAGAATCTAAGAGAGGTTCATAGGGATGTGTTGTGTGTCTCTTTCATAAGGTGTGGAGTGGCTGAGTACTACATGGAAGAGACTCAATTTTCACTCTCAAACTCATAAAGAACTTTTTATGATCAAAGTATGCTACTTCAGTGTTAATTTTTCAGTGATATGAGAATAAAAACTAAAAATCCATTCCAATGCACAATTCTGCTGGAGGGAAAAGTGTTGACTGACTTCTGACCATTTGCTTGTTTCTTTTTTCTATCATTTTCAGTCCAGTGAAGCCCAGTGTTACAATTATCCTACATCTCATCAATTGTTAATGTGATTTCTTGGCTATGAAAACAGTGAAATGTCAAATTTAAGCCTCTATGTTAGACTGAAATTGTCCTAGATTTAAGGGAAGTAGAGACTACTTAAAGTAGGGTAAATTTTTTTACTTACATAGTGTTTGTCACAGGAGCAGTCTTGGTACAGGCCCAAAAATATGTCAGGATTAGTGTCAGACAGATCCATGGAAAACTGAAACCTGCATAATATCATAAAGGGGTAAACTGGCAGAAGAGGTTCCATAACCTCCATTTAGAAAACTTTCCCATTTCTTCACTCAGAAAAGTAACTTGGAAAATTAAAAACTTATAACAAATACTTGCCAAACTGCACTAGGACCTAAATGGCCTGTTGTATTCTGTACTGGTGACTCACAGACAGTAACAACAGCATGGTGCAAAATTACTCTAATTAAATGCCTCTAAGAAGACTTTGACATTTTGGTATGCTTTTCATCTTGCAGAAGCAACAGACAATGGTGCCTAAAAATTATTTTTTCACACATTTTTATTGCTACTGTGTCTGGAAATGTGTTAATACTTTTTAATAACTGTCATTTAATTTTAACTGGTTTGCCCATATTGAATGCACAAAATATCATAACTTTAAGAAGTGCCTGCATAAAGGATTGAAACTGTAAGGGCTATGGCCTTTTGTTGTGCAAATGACCTGTGAAGAATATAATTCCTAGGAGAAGGTGTACAGACTAAATCCAGGTCCATTTTTCCATAATGGATACAAAGCAAATACCTTCAAAGAAAAAAATAAACAGAAAATCCTTCACTTGCTCTGCACTCCCAATACAGGTCTGAGTACAATTAAAGCACTCTGAAGAAACAAATATGAGGAAAAGAGGGGAAAACACCTTTGAGTTTCCTTAGACCATAAATACAGTGTGTTTATACATTACTGATCCATCAAGTTATAAATGGGAGTAGTTCCACAATAGTTACTGCTTCTCCTGAAGGTAGTGCAGGTGTTGTGATGGCACTCCGTAGCACAGCAGGGACAAGAGTCAGTTCATCCTAAGAGTTCACAGTAATCCATGAGCAATTGTGACAAAACAGGAAAATAACCCAGGAAATGAACTCTGTGAGGAGCTGCTGGCATTTTGCACGGTGCCTCGTATCTGTTTACTGCTACCACAGTACTACTTTAGGTTTTTAGACATTTCTTACATCTGTCATTCTGAAAGATTCTCAGCCACAGTTCAGCCATCAGCTGCTTCCCTACTACCATCACTGTTTCCTCTACTGCTGCCTCAAGTCCTTCCATTGACCCACACAGGTAAGCTTGCTTCCCTGGTTCCTTCAATGTTGTATGTGAGGTTCTCCAGTTGCATGCCACATCTTTTGGTCAGCGCCACTGTCTGCTGTCCAACTTGTAATCAGGCTTTTTGTTAAGAGGGCAGAGATGTTCCCCAAACTTCCCCAAAGTTTAGGGAAATGACAGGCTGTAGCTCTCTGTGGGTGCAAAGCACAGCTCAAGAAGCTGTGCATTGGAAATATGAGCACTCAAGGAAGACACTGGGATCCAAGGGAGAGAAGAGATACTTGGAGGCAGAAGAGATCAGCTAGAGACTTCAGGAGCCATGGCCACCACCTAGAAGGAATGCAACTGCACAGGAAGCATAGTGCTGCTTCCCAGCACTGCTACTGTGTCAAAACAAAAATGAGTGGAGCAGGTTACTACCTGAGAAGAAGCACTGGGCTTTTTGTTTTTAAAGTTCTTACAAAATCTGACTTTTTCAGACACCTCCTTTTATGCTTTCACTCAGTCTGACAGATACAATCCTCCAGTAAGCAGAGTTGTAATCTCTTTTAAATGTGCTTTTATACTTTAAACTTAGACAATGAGAAGAAGGGGATATTTAGGTCCCTACTCAATTTAGCCTTCTTTGGAATTGGTTATGGTTTTGCACTTTATCTGTCATCTTCTCAACCACTATAAAATTTCAGTCAAAATAGCTGAAATCATTCAAATGATTCTGAGCTGACAAGTCCTTTAAGCAGAGGTAAAAAATCTTTGCTGCTGTATATTTCCCTATATCTGTCATTTCAATGCATGAAAAACTGAATGCAAAATAAGACTTTTGACATGATATATCTTTTTCTCCAATTTGGTTTCAGTCTATGACCCCTATATTTAAGGACCTTTGTATTTGGCTACCTTGGTACTTGTAATGGGAAAAGTTCTACAGCACCTCTGAATTGTTTTTCAGTTTTGTCCTTGAGTAGTGTCAGTTCCTTGTTGTTAAACCAGATTTACACAGAGATTGTGACAGTAACAGCAGCAGCCTGTAATCTGTCAAGTCTGTCTGAAACGTCCTTCAGTTGCCTTTGTAAATTTAGCGCATCTGTATAAAGTCTCTTGTGTAAAATGTATGTTCTGGTTTTGATCAAGTCCTCCATATGCTCTCTTCTTCTGGTAGTGGTATGCAAATGCAGAGATTCAAGGCATTTTGATACATCTCTTTGTATCTTTTTCCTGCTGCAGCAATTGCTTTGCATTTCTCACTTTCTGTGGTATATTGATGATAATGTTAACATGGAAAAAGGTTGTAACTTTCTTGGTTTCTACTTTTCAGGCACTTTTTATGGAGGAATTACCAACTGGCCCTCTCAGGTTTGTTTTTCTGAAGATTGTTCTCTATTCAGTTTTTAATTTTATAGTTGAACATCTCCTTTTTTTTGGAAAATTTGGGTCAGGGATTTAAAAAAGCAGGTAAGACTATGGTTCAAAAATACCTTTCTGTAGCTTTAATTGCTTCCATTTCCTATTTCAAACTTTTGAGGAAATGACAGAAGGGAACTATCCAGGTTTCGAGTCTTTTTGAAAGAAATGTATGCTCACTGTTTTCTATAAAGCATAGAAATTTAATGTCCTCCATCCATTAAATAGAACAATTTGCAGCAAAGTACTTTGCCCTCTGCTGGGTTTTCCACCCTCCTAATACCTCACAGATATCTTACTTCAAGGGAACACACTTGGCATGTTGCTGAATGAGGAGCACCACCAGGAAGCATAGATAAAATAGAGGCATATAAACATAGATATACAGAAGAAAACCCATCTTCTTGTCCTCAAGATTCACCTCTTCAAGCTGGAGTTAGACACAAAACCCATTTATTTTTTAAAGCACACAGCTGGGCAATGTAACTGTGACATTTCCTCCTTGTACTCTTCTGCTGAGGAGTTAAGAACATTCCTCTCACATGTACCAGGGACTGGTTACACACCTACGACTTTGGAAAGCTCAGCTGACAAGCAGTGACTTCCAGCTGCCAAGACAGTGTTCCCCTGCCATGCAAAGGACATCTTTGCATGTACCTTCCATTTTTTTCTTTTAAAACTTCGTTTGTTGTAATGCATTCACAGTAGCCTGCAGTCTCCCCCGGTTCCAGGCTGTAATCCCAGTCTCACCTGTGCTTTAAGAACCTGTCTGATAGGTGTAGCCCCTAAACCCACTATGGTTACAAATGGAAATTGCAGGGATAAGTACCTTTTGAATTCCACCAGGTGTGACAACTCTTAGACATGGCTTGTGGAAAACAATGACACAACCCATCTCCCATCACTTTCTCAGAGGAGGAGTGACAAACTTCCTCCATCCATTGTCCTCATGGATAGAAAAGCTACCTTAGGATGAGATAGGCATTTTTCTTCCCCATGGTCTTCAGGCAGACCATTCATTGCCCCCTTATTGGTGAGTGCTTAAGATTTCATAGCTCTCTGCAAGCAGAATATCAAACACCATGGATTTCTGGTGTCTCCAGAGAAAGACAGCAGCTGCACAGGGTGTTTCTAAGTTTTGTGTTTCAGGGAGGATATACTGGGCCTGAAATGTAAATAAACTATCTGGATCCATTTTTTGATCCATTTGGAGCTTTTCACCTTATCTGTTTTAAGCATACAGGTAAGAAATACACATCCTCATTCTTAGTAGGTAATATTAAGCATGTACATGTGGTATTTCTCATCGATCCTTGATTACTGTAAAATATGTTGCAATCATGTGTGGATCCAACACTGAAAACTATCACTAAAACAACCTATCATGTTTATACCACATTGGAGCCCTGTATGTTTACTTATATCCCAAAATCCCCAGAGCACTTATGATGCTAAGGGAGTCCAGAGATTTTGGGCACCATTTGGTAAGTCATTTTTCTCTCAGACAAGTACCAGGAAATCCACCAGTGTATTTTTGGTTTTAGGTTTTCAGAATAGCTAATATTTCCATTCATAGCTTGAAATGAAATCATAATGTTTTAATGTCAAAACCACTACAAATCTCTTATTTGGTTTCATCAATGTAAAAAGTAACATTCATCTTTCCCCAAAAGTAAAAATGAAACTTAGTATCCTACAAATAATGCCTATAAATATCACAGAAGCCAATACATTAAAATTGGAAAGGACATACCAGATCAATTAGTTAATCTCCTTGCAAATTAATTTCTATTTCACATTATACGATAACATTTGTGTTTTCTAATTCTTATTTACCACAATCATTCAAATGCACAAAAGAAACTAATCACTTTAATGACTGGGAGACCTTTTTGAATGATTGAATTTTGGGGGAAATTAAATAGTACGAAATGTGCAGAAAACAGAACTTTCAAAACTGCATTAGGTGACCACATGGTGATCAGGAGTTACTATATCGTGTCCTTGAAATGGGCATGTCACTATCTGAAATTCAAATTCCCCAGCTTTTATATGTAAGACATTTAAATGGTAAAACTCACAGCAAATTGAGCTCCCCTGTGGATATTTAAGGGTTACAAGCAAATATAAGTCAAAACACAGTTGATGTTGAAATTACAGTAGCCTAGTTACAAGGGAAATATACTGATGGAATGAACCCAGAAATAACTGATGTTAAATTAGCCTGGTAAATGGGCAATTAGCATGGATGTGGTGCTAACAAATATGCCTCAGGTTTTACCATTCTAATTACTCAGAGGCTTCATCATTCAGACCTTCACTGCCTTTTGTTTGTTCCTGTAGTTCGTAGGTACATGTGACATTGCAGCTAAGTTTTTTTGTGGGAAAGGAAAGGGTACAGCAGCTTTGGTTGATAACCTCTGCGTGACATCCTCAGTTTGCTCAGCTTTGCCCTTCCCTTGGTGCAGTGTATGAGAAATGCCCTGGATCTACACAGGCAAGGGTTCTGCCAGGTGGGGCACCAAGAACACACAAGGTGAGTATATAGCCCTGGTAAACCTCAGCACATCAAATCTGGTTAAGCTACATCATCCATTCATAGATATTTATTTTTTTCAGCAACTATCGTGAAGACTTGAAAAAAAAAAAAAAAAAAAAGATGGTCTGCTCTGTCAGGACCATTAGACTACTGAGACATTTTCTGAAGCTGAGGTAGATCATTAATGAGTGGTTTCAAACCGCTGCAGTAATTTTATTTTTTATGGATTTCCATTATTTGAGAAGTGGCAGAAATATATTAATTAATTTTTCACTGATGCATCTAAGTAACCTTTACACACAGCAGGCAAATAAAATCAACAGTGAAATCATGGTTTAATTATTTACCTAGAAACAACTCAGAATCAATACAACATATCTTACTGACTGCAAGAACTTAATCTCCTTTCTATTCTCTTCCTTTTATGTGGTTATCATGCAATCAGGAGACAAAAGATGATGGGATTTTGCTCACATAATTATAGCTCATCAAAACGGCCCTCATGAACAATTCATTCATCAGATTTGACCCTTTATCTCTTGGAGAATTATCTGTGAATTGATCATGGCTTTTATTATTTGGTTGATGAAGAGCTTTTTCCAAACACATCTGAGCCTGACTGTAGTGAGTACTTCAAGTGTTTGTTATTTAGAGTTCTCTGGTTGGATGTCAGCTTTCTCATACGGTATAATTATTTTTACTGTTTGATTAAATAGATGCCCTTTGCATAGTGGACAGATAAAAAAAAATTTAAAATATTAGTGCTGAAATCTTCTCAGGGAGAAAAGTGAATATGCTATGGAAACTTATTAGGAAATTAAAGCCCTGAAATACATAATGTAGGAATAATGTGAAACAGGAATAACAACTTACTGCTGTGTTTTACTACTTTATATCTGTCTCGGTATATCTCATTGTTGAAACACTGCCCACCCTTCCAGAATTTCGGGACTTTTTAGAAATTATTCAGTATTAAACATCAAGGCTGTTATATGTAGGACTTGATATCAAATTCCTAATAGTTTTGAGTTAATGTCAGAAAGAAACACTCACCATTCTCTAGAAAAACAATGAACGTTCGGAGAAAATGCTGCAAATGGTGTAACACACCATAAATACCACTATAAGTTGCTTTCATGAGCTCTTAGAGTGCAGAATGTTATTTAGAATGCTACTACTACAGATTCCCCTCCTTCCACCATGCTTTAGGTCTGTTGCAGGTTTGTGGTTAAATAGGAAATGTCAGATTTCATGCTTTCATACCTATGCTTCCATTTAACTTTTTCCTTTAGCTTCTCCAAGACAATTTCTCAGTTATTGCAGAATGGAGATATTGAGTCCTGTGGTCTACCTGGAATTTTGACACTTCCTGAGAAAAGTGCTGTGCCCTCCCTCCTTTCTCCCCAAAGCTATAAACTCATTACTCTCTCAAAGAGAGGAATACTTTCTGATTTGTTCAATAAAATAAGTAACACTAAAATAATATACTCTACAAGATGACTTAATAATAAAGCTGGAATTATACTCTTATCTGTTGCCAAAGTATTGTAAATTTGGGGAAAGCATTCTCACGAATTGTGCCTTCTCACGTATTATGTGTTGTGTCTGTCAGTCTCCAAGCCTCTAACTTGTAAATTTGCATCATCCCCACCCTTCTGTCAGTGTGCTCTGATTAACTGGGCTCTCAGAGAGAAAATGTGTGTGGAGCCTGTGACAGCCTGAAAAGCTTTTTCCCAAATGTAATCCTCCAGCACATTTGCGTAAGCACTTACAAAGTAATGACTATCCTTTACGACGGGCCTTTCCGAGGTTTTATCTCCCCCCACTCTTGTAGACACAAATAATACTCAAGATAAAGTGCATGTCACTTCTCATCGCTGCTTCCCCCTCTCCCCCGCATCACACAAAATCAAACTGGTACAATCTAATGTGGAAGAGTGACACAGAGTGAATGATTCATTTCAAAGGAAGGGGAAAAACGTAAGAAAGTGAGGAAAGTTCTGAAAAAAAACCACACTGTGTATTCTCCTCTGTAGTAAATTGTGTCTCCCCAGTCTCACCTTTTAGGAGGAAACCCTCTGTCTTCTAAGCACAAGGTTCAGCCCACATTGGTATCTCAGGCTGGACTGGGATTTTTGGTGTAACTATTCTGCAGCAAAGACAGTGATAAAGTCTCATTCATTAACTTACAGATTTCCCTGTCTGAGGATGTGACATGTAGTCCTTTTCCTTGGTCAGAATATTAAAGACATTTCTCTTCTCACCTGAAGCTAAATTTCATTGAAGATATAAGAATTTAATATTTCTGAGGTTTCTTTTCTTCCCCCATCCTTTAACTGAGGTGAGCCATGAGTTTTACGGTTACGGAGGAGATGAAGGCAAACACAAATGTGCTCACCCATATCCTCTCCTTAGAAAATCAGGTGGGGAGAAATGGCTGGGATCCCTCAGAACAAGAGATAAACCACACATCTTAGATAAAGAATTACTCAGGTAGCTGTAAAAAATCATGGAATGGTAGGGTAGTGAGAAGAATGGAGGAATATGTTATTTGGTAAGAAGTCAAACAATGTGAGCTGACCATCAGAGCACAGATCTTTCACTCTCCTGTGCTTCCCACACCCCTTCTAACCGCCTTGGGAAGCACTCCACATCTTCTACACATTCCTCTTGGCTATCCCCAGATATTTTCCCCATCCCCTGCCCCCAGACAGCCCTGCATGCACACTCGAGGCTGCAGAGCCTGGAGGAAAGGTGAGTGCTCCATCCTGCCCTCAGTAAACAGCAGGAGGTGCCTCTCTTCTAAGCAGCCCCTCACCTTGAACAGCTTTGCCAGAAATTATCTATCTGCCTCTGTGAAAAGGGATGATGGATTTGAAAAAAAGAGTTGTCACATGTACTTGAGGAACATGCACCTTTTTCCCTAGGAATTCAGACTAAAAGGAGTGCCTGTCTCAGAAATTCACCTTTGACATGAGAACTATTCACTCAATTCAAGAGGGTGTGCATGCATGTACTTACAGGCATTTAGAGATTCCTGGAGAGGTTCTTCCTGTTTTCTGACCTCTTATTTTCTCTTATTATTCATCCTTCTTGCACTGGAAAATAAAGACAGGAGATTGCAGCTTTCAAACATCATTTCAGGGAGGACAAAAACATAAACCATGATCTCAAGAAGACTGAGCTGCTATCTGCTCTTTCTATCTGAAATGGTTTTTAATATTATTAAGCTTGTTTTTCCATCAATACTGCACTGTTGACTTAACTCTCCCCTACACAGTTGTCAGTGCAGACCAAATAACTCATTTCAAATGCCAGTGTAAAGTACATGAGCCAATTTATTTTTTTTGGATGGTAAAGGTCATATAAATTTAATATTCATATTTTTTCACTTCTAAATACATGGTCAGGAAAATACAGTACATTGATACAAGTGTAGGAATGAAGCATAAAGTTTGGAAGGAAAATAAAATTTTAATAACTTATGTAACCTGTTCAGATACCAAATCAGGATGCCAACACAAAATGAATAAGCAAAATAATTTCTTAACATAAGACACAGTCTATATTAAATCAAACCCTAAGTCTGCCTGATGTGCCACTTGAACAGAAAGTTTCTTTTTATGTGTTCTATAATTTGATCAGACCATGGACTGCAAGTAATCTAGGACAGGCAGGTGAAGGAAGAGTAAAGGCAGAATTTTATACCAAGGGATGTGAATTTTGCATCGTGTTCAAAGCAGAAACAGAAGTCAAGGAGCACACCTCCCACCAGCACCCTCAGGATTAAAAACATGGAACAAAATTAAGTACTTTCAAACAGTGGACAGTTAACCCCAAGCCCATCATAGCTTCTTCATAGGGTCTGAAGCTCTCTCCCTCCCTCTGTCCTCAGGCACAAGGAAGAGGCAGTGTTCACATCCTTTTGGTCCCTCTGCTTTCCTTGCTGGTCCACGCAGCCAGTCACTGCCACACTGCACTGCCACGACTCCATCTGCCACTCGGGAGCTATTTCGCTTGGATTCCACTTTGGAGATGATTCCCTATGGGAAAAATTGTCTGTCTCTTCTTGTCTCAATGAAATGCTGGCATTGGGCAGCGCAAGGGGCTGAGGAAGAATAAGAAAAACTTAGCCAAAAGTTCAGAAAACCCCTCCATGCTCTCCATGGAGTCCTGGATGAGGATGGCCAGGTTTGGCCCTATATACTGTGTACATTGCTAAAAAGACATGTTTTTATAAGGCTTTAGAGAAGCTCTCATGAATTTCCATTGGTCAACAAGGATTGATTTTTTTTCCCTTCAGTGACTGTCTCTCCAACCTGTGATGGTCTGGACAGTTTCCTTTGGTGAGCAAACTTTCTTCAAAGAAAGATTTCTAGGGGTGCAAATCCAGTAAGAAGAGATTAGTCAGGGTCAACTGAGAAATCTCCAGGAAAAACATAAAAATTCTCTTCTGGATCCACACAAACTCCTTGTCTCTCCCTGGCTGAATTACTGTCAATAAAGCACTTGAATTAGCAGTTGGCAGCTGGCCAGCATGTCTTTCATTCTGTCCTAAAGGTGAAAGGCAGGGAATTTGTGAGCTTTTCAGAGCAAGCCAGTGATGAGTTTGCTCAGCAGAGACTGAATATCTGGTGAACAGCTTGCCACAGCTTTTGTCTGCCAATGCTATCATTTTGTCTATCCACCCTTTGCCTCTCCTGATTTCCGCTCACGCTAACATGGAATGACGGGCTTGCCCATTTAACTCTGCAGGCTGTTTCAGCTTCATTACTATGTATTAGACCTATTTTCACCCCAATTTAACATTAACAGAGTAATTTGCAGAGTTCTTAACTGAACCACAAATCTCCTAAATTACTTTTTTACTTCTTTTGTATGGATTCAGCTTAATATTTAACATTTCTTCTACTTTAATGTTTATACAAATGTCACACTTTTGCTCCTCCTCTTTGCTCTCTACTTGGATCCAGGCTTAGAAGGCATCATGGCCACATAGTTTTACTGCTGTCTGTTCCCATTACACTGATCCAAGGGATCAGCTGTGACCACAGTCTAATGCTGTTGCACCAGATTACAGCCTATGACAATGAACTTCTAAGCAATAATCCTTTACAGTAATTTTTTTGTGTCTGCAGAGTAAAGGTCCAATATCTTCTCTCCCATTCTAGCTCTGAAGTCATTGCCTTCAAGGATTTCTATCCCTAAATTGTGACTGCATTTAAAAGAAGCAATGTGAGCTTGAGGGCCTCATGGCCAGGTGCTTGTAACCTGCACCCACCCTGAAAGTGTTTGCATTTCTTTTAGGAACAGCCCAGTTTAAAAAATCTGCTGATTGTGGCAGACAACACATTTATACTTGCCTAAACTGGATTGTTTTTTCCTTGTAAACACAAGAATTTAAGAAACTTTCTAAGAAGTAGAAAAAAACTTCCTCTCTGTCCCTTCAGAGCTTTCTGGGTCTTGGACTGAGGCTTTTAACACAGTGTACTAGTTTGAAATCAAACCAGTGAGAGATCGCAAGTCAGAATTATAATTTAATAGGAAAATGATAAAAAGAATAGATGCAATAATATCAAAAACACTGACAGAGTCAGAATACAGCCTGGAACCCTGTTAGGGTGATGGTAGTCGTCCAGATGAGGTGGTCTTGTTGAAGCGTGATCCTCTGGAAGAAAGGGGGTCTGGTCTTCAGCTGAAAGTCCAGCAGTAGCTTCTGTCCTCTGGAAGTCCCGTAGGTAAGGGCTGCTGTGGTGTTCGAATTCTCAGCTTATATCCAGTATGGAATGCTTGGCTCCTCCCAAGGGGAGGAGCATCTCACAATGGGATGGTGAGTCATGAGATAAGGCCTTGATGAGCCATTAACAGAAAACAGTCCAGGAGGAAGTTATCTCTGAGTCATGCAGCAAGGCAGTGGTGGGCCCATTAACAGGGGACAATACAGGGGGAAGTTATCTATGAGTCATGGGGCAGGGCATTGATGGGCCCATTAACAGAAGGTAGCCCGGGGGGGGGCGGGGGGAGGCAGGGAGCACTGCCTCACCTGGTTTCAACAGTACATGAGGATGGTGATAGAATATACTGCAACCCAGGACATAATCCACCCCTTATTCTATTACCATCTACATAATTCCAAATCAGTACCTTCCTTAAACTCCACACACACACACACACACACATATATATATATACAATGGAACCTTACACACAGTTCTCACTTAAAATGAGGTCTCCTTGTGGCACACATCGTGTTTCCCCATCTTTCCGCATTACCCACCAAGTGCAACCAGGTCCTTGAGCGAAGACAATCCCACGGATAGGTTTGCTCTTGCCTGAGGTGGGATTAATTCAAACAGTCTTTCCTAACATACCTCTCATGTGTACCACAGGGACTTTATCTCCATCCACCGTGTGCAAGGGTTCAGACTGGGCAGGACCAGCTCGATTGATGGATCCTCTGGTGTTAACCATCCAGGTGGCCTTTGCT